TTTTATTTTTATGCTTAGTCAGGCCTAATGAACGCAATTATAGTCTGTGAGGTGAGTGGCAGGCACGAGGGCATGGCTGAAGAAAGTATGCCTAATTTTCCGAACTATTTTTATTTCATGAAAAAAAGGTTGCCAGTGCTTTTTTTCTACGCGCATTGAAATCGAAGGTGTCGGTGAAAGCATTAATCGTGTTGGAAAATTAGCGGCTTCCTCTCTGAGTGGCTGGCAGTCTAAAATAGAAAATTAACGGAAATACGTACAGCCGAAGCTGACATGGTAAAGGTTGGAAAGTAACAACCGACCAACACTATAATCTCAAATAAATTAAAAAATACATTTTTTAGACGAATATAAAACGTGGTAATAAAAAGAACTCTGAGTTGATATTTAAAGCTTTACAATTAATCTAGCCTTTTACTATGAAAGCTCTCAAAGTTCACCGAATTTAGTATCGACATGACATGAAAGTTGTATTCATCCTTACAAATACTATTGTAATAGAAGCACAAAAGTTTGCTAAAAGTTAATTCTTAACAACACAAGCAAAAATATTTGGAATGGCTCTTTGCGCCTGCTGAAAGTTTCAAAGCTCAAAAATATTTGAGCTGAACTCAAATTTAGTATCGCGAAATATTTTATGCAAAAATCGATCGTAAATTGGCACAAAAATAACATTTTTTGAAATTTGACTAAAGCGCCATCTATCTAAAAATCTTCGAATTTTCTTTTAGACAGCTTAAGAACAGACTAACTACCAATACGATACATACATTTTTTTTTACCTCTGGTGGATTGCTCTTAGTAGTCGTAATATTAGGCACGATGAGGTTGCGAATAGTATCGTAATTAATTATGTATGTATTGCAGTTGCAATGGTAATTACAATGTATATGTAATGATAGTCGTAACGGTGCAGATATATTATATAATGATTAATATAATCAAAATAGTTATAATAGATAGTACTGATCATTTTTAAAATGTATGGTAATGGTAAGGGTAATGAAAATTACAAAATAATGCAAATAACTACAAAAACGTAATCAAAATGATGATGATAATGGTAAAGTAAAAAGCAATTAAAAATGTAATATGGAAAAAATGATATTGAAAAATGTAATCAAATGCTCGTAGACATGCTTTGGTAATAATATTGGCGATATATTGAAATTTTTAAAACCAAGTAAAAAATGTATCATATGGTATAGAAATATTAACGGCCGTGGTAATAAAAATTCTAATTGTGGTGTAATTATTAATCATATTCGTAATTAAATAGGCATTTAAATGGTAGTGATGCTGGTAATGATCATAATAAATACTATGGAAATGTAAGATGTAATGCGTATGGCACAGTAGTTGTAATGAAAAGGTAATTCTAGAAGTAGTTAATAGCAATTGAATTGGTAGTGGTATGGTATTGGTTACGACAATAAAATGTAGTGATTAATGTTAATTGTTAATACTAGTAATTGTAAATATTACAGTGAAGGCAATGGCTAACTGAGATAAAAGATTAAATTTATATTGAAAGTAATTGTAATAAAAATGTATTACGAGAGATATTATTAGCGGTAATGTAATGGTAAAAGTAATGCTTTAATAAATATTGAAAGCAATTATAATGGTAAAGGTAATTTCAGAAGTAATGGTAGCGTTAATGTGATTGTGAAAGTAATAATTAAATGCATATTAAAAGTAATTGTAATGCTAAATGCAATTAAAGTGTTAATGTTGCTAATATTGAAAGCAATTATAATGGTAAAGGTAATTTCAGAAGTAATGGTAGCGGTCATGTTATTGTAAAATTAATTATTAAATTCATATTGAAAGTAATTGTAAGTGTAATGGGGACTCCATAAGTAATGATAGTGGTAATGTAATTGTTAAAGTAATGATTAAAAATTTTTTAAATATAATTGTAATGGTAAATATTATAGGAGGGTAATTGTAGTGGTAATATAATTGTATTTTAATCATTAAATTCATATTCAAAGTAATTGGAAGGATAAAGGTAATACCAGAGATTTTATTAGCGATTTAATTAAATGCATATTGAAAGTAATTGTAATGAAAAAGGTAATTTCAGGGGTATCATTAGCGCTAATGTAATGGTAAAAGTAAGAATTAATCGCATATTGAAGGTAATTGTAATGGTAATGCTGATTCTAGAGGTCTTGATAGCGGTAATGTAATTGTAAAAGTGATAATTAACATCATATAGAAAGTAATTAAAATAGTAAATGTAATTAGAGAGGTAATGGTTGCGGTAATGTAATTTAAAAAGTAATGGTTGTAAGGATAATAACCGTGCTGGTCGTAAAAGTAATGATTTTATACGAATTCACGTTGCTTACCGTACAACTTTTTATACACGTTGCTATACCTAATATTTCATTCATAAATTTCTGCTCGAAATTGCTACCAAGTTTATTCCTGTACGCTTTCGCACTCATCTGTAGACACGTTTATTGCATTTGTGCGTATAATTCTGTAAACTCACCTACTGCCATCAATCGCATTAGTCGCGCTGCCGCCAAAGCGTGTAATTAGTTTGCAAACTATAATTTATGGCTCAATTGAAATAATTTCGTTCCATTTGTCTTGCAATTTCAATTTAATTCTGCCAATGCAAATAAAATGTTTGAATGATTCGCATAAATTCAAATGCTATTTACTTTACGGATTTACTTTCATTTGTGCGCTTTGCTTGCATGGAAAGTGTGTGAAATTGCTTTCATTAGTTGCGGTAGCAAATTGGCAATACTTTTAAAATTCAGGAGCGCATTAAATTTTCACGGTCTTCTTTTATAAAACCTAAACTATTTTTTGAATGCACTTGGTTCTTCCTTTCACCGGTCTAGTATTCTTACAAGATGACTTTTACTTCATTTGCTTTACTTTCATCGCTGTTGCCACGGCGAATTAATTATTTAAGTAATGAATATGGAAGATGTAGTTGTAATTTTAATCTATAATTGCAAACTATTTGTGAAAAGGTAAAAGCTTTCTCAAAAAAGCTTTGGCCGTAATAATTTTGTTTGCATGCATTTGCAGTTGCCTTTTAAACATTTAAATTATTTCAATAATTTTTGTAAGCTCTACAAATGCTTTTACTAGCTGCTGCCTTAAAATTCAGCTTTAAAGTGATTTTCAAAGCACTCAGAGCAAGCTTCTTTATACCTTTAATTTTCAGTTTTTTGTAAATAAAATAATCCGTGATTTTGGGATATTCGAAAGCTTCATAAAAACATATTATGAACAACTGAAGAGAGCTTTCACCAATTGTACTTAATTTATTAATAAGTTTTTGAACCTCTAAAAAGCTTACTTCATGCTTTTGTTAAAATTAAAGATCAAAGTGGTTTTAAAGCTCTCAAAACAAGCTTTTTCTGGTATGTTTTTATAAAAAAAACAGAATCCGTGCATTTGAGATAGTAGAAAGCTTATTGGACTTAAAAAGATACTTACGAAGCAATTGATGAGAGCATTCATCAATTGCACGGTTTTCTACATAGATTTCATAAAAATATACCCTGTATTATTTGCATTTTAAGCTATATATAAATGAAAAGTTTCAAGAGCTTATTGAGCTTAAATTAAAACATCAAAAAAGGTTGGTTTTGCAACGGTGAACTTGAGTTTGAGATAATTTGCATTTTTTTTTGGAATACTGAGGATTTTCAATAAGTTCAAATACTGCAGAAAAAGTGGCTTGGAGAGCTTTCAGTATACTCGCATAAAAAATTATTGTACACTGAAGTGAAAGCATTTAAAAGCTCATTTGCTTTTACATCGTAAAACGTAGAACACAATTATCCGTAAAGCTTTTACATAATATATTTTAGAGCTTTCTATGGCCATTTAAGCTCAACATTAAAAAAATACATGTTAACTGCTTTTAAAAGTTTTGCATGCGTAAAAGTTTTTCAAAGAAAAGCAAATCAAAGAAAGTGAACCCTGTTGTAAAGCTCAAAAAAGTTCACAAAACCTGCCAAATACCCTTAAAAGCTTATGAAATGAAGAGCTGCATTTCAGGTTTGAGCTTGCCTCTGAGAGCTAAGTAAACAATTATCTGTATAGATTTTATATAATTTGTTTTAAATATTTCTCCGACCATTTAGGGATTTAGGGTCAGTGTTGAAAAAAATATGTTGACTGCTTTCAAAGCTTTGCTTGGATGAAAGCTCTTTACGAAACTAAGTTTTAATGCAATAAAAACATTATAGTGATTTTAAATAAAGCTAAAAACAGCTGTAAATTACAAGTATTATTAAACAATTTTGAAGTGAAGAGCAGCTTTTCTTACCTCTGCGAGCTTTTTTCTTTATATATTTTTCTAAATTAAAATATTTTCTTAAATATCAAATAAAAGACATTTCCTTAAAGTTTTTATAAAGATTCACTTTATTTACTTTTCAAAATTGTGTTTAAGTATTAGCTTTACCTATTACATTTTCATTTACGCTTTATAAAAGTTAAATAATAACTACTATTTTCTTTAAGTGTATGCCTAGAAGGCAGCTTTATGCCTGTGTGAGTGCGCATGCATTTTTCGATGTTTGCTTTTTTATTAAAAATTAAAAATTTGATTGCTCCTTTTTGTTTTCAAACAGAAAATATTTAATCGATTTAAATTTGTTGTTTGTTCTTGTTGTATTTTGTTAAACTTATTTACAAACTTATAAAAAAGCTTCATGAAATGTATACAAATTAATTATTTAGTGATATTGACATTTTCTAAATATTTTGCAATTCGATTTTTTTAGGTTACGTTTAAAATTTGCTAAAATTCTTAAAAAAAGTATTTCGACTTTTTATTGTTTGATAAATGCAATATAAATAAGCACAGTTTTTTTTATATTTAATGTGTAGTTTTTATTTATTTATTTTAGTTTTTAAATATAAATTAGTTAAATATTAAATACAATTAAATAAATAAAAGCGAAAGTAAAAGTACAAAGTCTGCATAAACATTAAAAATTAAATATTTTTCGTTATTTTTTAGTCAAAGCTGCAATCTCTATAAGTAGGTTCCGAAATATGTGTATATTATGGTTTTCGGAACCTCATAGAAAGTGCGCCTTGTTGCTAAATAGTTAAGCTTTAGATAAATACTAAAAAAAAATATTAAAGATTAAGAGATGCGCTTTTGTTGGTAGTGTTGAAATATTGCTAATGTGCAAAAATAAACCGAATTTGGCTGAAAGCCGAAAGTATAGCCAGAGCTTGCGTAGAAGCTATCACTATGACAAAAGTTGAGCTTTCAAAGAGCTTTCACTGATATGTCTGATGAAAACAATAACTATAATTGAACACTACTGAATTGCATATAATTTTGAGTATTGGTTGGTAGAACATTTAGTAGTAGAAAGCAAGAGCTTTCTCTCTGCAGATAACTAAACGTTTCCTTTTTTTGCTTCGAAACATTCCGTTCAACGACCATCCACTTTCCTACATTCAGCGGGGCATCACACTTTTTTAATAACTGCATTCTAAATTGCAAACTACTTTGACCTTCAGAGCTTTCAGAAGCTTTCGCTGATATGTTATTTAAAATGTCTCTGCCAGAGATAAGCAATCATAAGTTTTTTATTAAAAATGTATAGCTCTAATAAGTCCCAGCTCGGCTGAGCGCTTTTAAAAGTTTTTTTAGTTAGCTTTAATTTAGAATTGGTCTTTATATTTTTTACTGATTTTGCAGCATAATAAATTATTTTCTTGTTAGCTTATTTAAAAACCGCATCTATTATTTCATGTAAAAAAACTCCCATTGCAGCGTAAAAAGCTCAAATGAGAAATATAAGCTCTACAAAACATTTAAGAATGTATAGCAATTCTCAAATTTACGTAACATAAGTACCGCATCTGCGATGTCCGAAAGCTCCACTCAGTTTTCAGAACTACTAAAGCATGTCCAATCTATCAGTTACACACTCGATAGCTTAAATTTTGTGGAACATATAAGATGATAGTTTAGTGTATACAAATATATATGTATGTATGTAGGAATGAAGTATTATAATTAAGACTAACATTTAAAAAAAAGCTCTATTCCACTGAGCTTTTATGCATAAGTACTTCTATATGTTAAAACTAAAACTATGATACGCATATAGTTTATTACTTATTATTGCATAATTCCTTGCGTGCCAGTAGGCCTATACTACCCCTTTAGAGAAAATGAAAAGTTTACGAAAACTTTCAAGCTCCCGCTACCACCAAATTCGGGGAAAAGTGGCTCACCAGCTTTTCGTTTTAGACTCTTGCTAAGCTTAATATTATGAAATGCATTATTCTTTGTTTAATTTAAAACTTAAATTACTAGCTTGAAACTTTTTTGCAAAAGCTTTTTGCGAGCTTTTTCTGAAATCTTATTTTGCATAATTTTTTGTGGTAATATCATTTCTTGCATTACATAAAATTACTTTTCTGATTTAGTCCGATACCCCTGTGTTCCACTTAATTTTTGTTGCTTACTTTAGAGTTTCTTCCGTTAAAATATATATTATTTTTCGTAAATGTATGTGTATGAGTGTGGTTTTTGTGTTGCTTAATATTTTGTTTATGCTACAATCTTATGAGGTTGCATCCATTTTTTCATATAATAACAAAACAACGTCGAAATGTAGAGCAGAATCATAAGCGCACATGTGACGGCCAGCGCCAAAACGGATGTCTTCGTGGGGCAGGGCTCAATGATGGTGACAGTCTTATCTGTGGCGGAGAAACAGAAGGTGAGGTAGAAAGACAGGGAGAGAGGGAGAAAAGAGATCGCAAAAGTGGGTGAGAGAAAGGGAGACATGGAAAATTCAGTATCACATAGAGCTTCGCAAGTTTGTGAGAGCGCAATTTACCTTTGGCAAAGTCTGTGCTGGGATCTGCCTTGAAGAATTCACGTTTTTCATCGCCAAAGTCCAGGACTAGAATCTCTTGTGAGATATTCATATCATCATCAGCCTCCTTAGTCTCGTTGCTAATGAAAGAGAAATAGAACAAACATATAACCTAAAGGGCCAAAAAGAAGAGAAAGCTCGGCGCACTCACCTCTCGACAGCACGACGACGACGTCTTCTACCCAAAGATTCGAAGGATTCCATATTCCATTCGCACACAGCCGGTTCGCAAGGACCCAAACAATATTTAACATTACACTGGAAGATAACACCGTAGCTCTCGGTGAAACGGAAAGCCTCATAGGTCGACTGTAATGCATTGCCATCGGCGGTGAAACCAGGAAAGATGGTCGGATCAGTAGGACAGCCATCGTCATCAATGATTTTGAAGCTGGTGCGTGCATCCTTAGCCATCGCGACGCAGGAACGTGCAAAGATACCATAAGGAGCTTGAGCAAAATCAAATGGGAGTAAAGGGTAAAAATAAACCAATTATTAGTTGACATTCGGTGCGCTTTGTCAAGCAAGTCGTTTCGCTTACTGTCTTCGGGTATTTCGATGCGGAAGTTAAGTCGATCACCGATGCGTACAGTCTCCACTTCACGTTGACGTGTATCGAGTATGCGAATCCGTGGTGGTGGTGCCTCAGGCGATGAGTTGATATGGATCATTTCTGGATCGCGTATGGGCATCATGCCGAAGGTGATGTTCTTCGAACTCATATCATAGGTGCACTTAACTTTGTAGATCTTATCGGCCTTGGTCATAACAACGCTGTGATGCTGGAGTACTACAGTATTCGAATAGACGCCGGTCTAAAATAAGAGAAGCGATACGTGCTTAGGGGTTAGGTGGGGTTTGAGTAAAACGTGTGCAACAAACTCACAAAAAAATTATGTAAGAATTTATAAAAAGAAACAATAAAAAATATAAAAAATGTTTTTAACATCGATGTATGGAAGGCGTAGCGTGTTCGGCAAGGTCTTATCGAGTACCTGACGGCTATACGGCGTGGGGTCTACCAAGTCAAAGCGGAGATCTGTATGCCAAACACTCATATCGCAAAGGCATACAACGCAAGACCATTGCAAGAGCTATGAAGAAAACGATGTCGGGAGCTGCAATCGTTGCGATTTCAATATTTGAGACCAGTTTTTGGTCAAGACGGTTTATTGTTCATTAACTTTTTGACAACCATGCATACCGCTTTTATCTTATGGGAATATAAGGCATAGTAAGAAGAAAAAAATTTTAATTGACTTACCACACTTTGCGTATTACAGTCTTGTCCAGCCATGGTCAGATCTAGACGGAACGCATCCGAGTTGATGACATCGATATTACAAGTCTCTGAACGGCCCAGAGCATAGATACGACCATTGAATGGTTTATTGGTGCGGACTTGTACAGCAATGCGGGTGTCTTTGCAGTGAACAGATACTGTGGAGAGCAAAGGAACGAAAAAAATTGCGAGGAAAGTGAGGTTAGTAAAACGAGGTTTTGATAAACTTTGTTTCAAATGAGCTCCCCAAATCCTTGATGACAAGAAAGTAAGACCAGAAATTGCGCAATGTTATGAATAGAGAGTTTCATTAGATCTGCTCAGACCTTGAAACGTGATTCGGAGAACCTTTCACTTGTATTTGTACTCACCATCATAGCAGGTGCCAGTTTTATCGCAGTTCACGTCATTTCTGGTGATGTTGGTCAAGTTAGGATCTTCGGTGGTGTCTAGACTGAGAGGCAGTGTGTCCAACTTGTCCAAAGTGCCGGGCAGTGAGGTGGTCTTTTCGCAAGCGTTTTCAAAGTATTGACCAATGGGTTCGCCGTGATCGATCAGTGGGCGCTCATGGTTCAGATAAGTTGATGGACCATCGGGTAGTGTCTTGTGGTCCAAATGGAACAAGCGGCAGTTGTACTGTGAACCTTGTGGTTGACCGAGATACAAGAATGAGCGACACAAAAATTCTGTTTCAATTTCACAAGCCAAACGGCAAGCAGATTCCGAAGTCACTTGCAATTCCTTGTCGGTATAGTAATGCAAACCGACATATTGTGCCACCTTCTCCTCGGACACACCCACGCGAGCTACAGCAAATAAACGATTATTCTTACACGCCTGCGCCGGCTTCAAACACAAGTTCTCAAAGTAATCGGTGCCTTGCGCATCGACCAGCTGCACAAATTGACCCGAGCTACGTCTATCCGAATCGCTCAAAACACATTTCATATTATTATAATCATATTCGACCGAGCGACAAACGAAACGTTTCTCATTCAAACAAGCCGACAAGCAGGCCTCCTTGGTGCTGGTGTAGATGAGCGCATTATCGAGACCGCGTATAATCTTATTGGGTACACGCTCGAACGCCCACGGCCGATGGCAGACATTTTCGCTGCGCAGCTGCAATTTCACCATGTAATACATGTTGGCGGAGCGTTGTGGCGCCGCAGACGGATTGTGTGCCGACGAATCATTCTGCAGTTGACAGTGTGTCTCCTGCGAGGGCGACAATGGATTGACGACAAAACTGAATGCAGCGGCCTGACAATCGGCCTCCTCACGACACCAGCCCTGACACTCATACAACGAGAGATTCTTTACGCTGTAGTATGTGGTGCCGGCGAAATCGAAGTCTGTGAGCTTCTCGAATGCCATGCGCGCCACACTGGAGCTGGGCATCAGCGCGACGGCTAGGCAGAGGGCGAGCACAAAGCGCAGATTGGCGGACGGCGCTGTCCAACCGGACATGATTGCTGCGGTTTGACGGTGTAGTAATCGCATCTGCAAAAGACAAGAAGAATGGGTGTAAGTGTGAATGTGACTTCAGGCGGTGACGGGGCTCAGGCTGAGATTTTTTATTAATAGAAAAACTAATCTACAAAATAGGTATTTGAGGCAAGACTCTCCGCTTGAAGCCTTCTTTTCAACTTCACTGACGCTGTGAGCGTGTAACGTTATGGGAAATTAATTTACCGGCAATAAAATTAAGATTTGCACTTTGGGAAAATTAGCTGAGACAGCATTGATCTTGTAATGTCGTCGCCGTATAAATTTCAAACTTGAATGCACATCGGTCTCGTTGTTATGCTTCAAAGAATATCACCATTATGCGGTGAGAGTGTGAGGCATTGTTGTATAGAAAACGGCACTCATGAAAAAATTAATATATTATGAAATGAAAACTAAAAATTTGTGATATAAAAATACCATAAAAATTAAAATTCTAAATAATAAAATAAAAAAATTTTGAATTAAAAGCTTTGAAAATTAAAATTAATTTTTTGTCTGAAATCACAAATATTTACATGTTAAAAATTTTAAAAAACTAATATTTTTTTTAAATTTGGATTTTTTTAAATTATTACCTTACTTATTACTTTTTTCTAAAAAAAATTCACCTTAATAAGTAAAAATAAAAATTAAATATATGAAAACTAAGAATTCTGCAAAAAATTTTAAGGTTATAAATATATAATAAAAAGATTTTGAAATTAGAAGCTTAGAAAATTAAAATAAATTTTTTTTCAGAAATTATAATTATTTATATTAAAAATTTTTTTAAAAATTAATCTTTTTTTAATTTAAATTTTTTTTTAATTTTTCTACCTTTTATTAAATAAAATTGAGCTTAATAATTTAAAATAATAATTAAATATTAAGTATTCTACAAAAACTATACTTGATAAAAAAGATTAAATAAAAAGATTTTGAAAATAAAAGCTTTGAAAATTAAATTTAATTTTTTTTTCGAAATCATAATTATTTACATTTTAAAACTTTTAAAAAATTAATCGTTTTTTTAATTTAAATTTTTTTTTAATTTTTCTACCTTTTATTAAATAAAATTGAGCTTAATACTTTAAAATAATAATTAAATATTTAAATATTAAGAATTCTACAAAAAATAAACTTAATAAAAAAGATTAAATAAAAAGATTTTGAAAACAAAAGCTTTGAAAATTAAAATAAATTTTTAAAAATTATAATTATTTATATATTAAAAATTTTAACAAAATAATTTTTTTTTTTAATGTTCAATTTTTTTTCAAAATTTAAACTGTTTGCACCAAGCATGGTTAATAAATTAAATACCAAAAATTAAATATTTAAAAATTTCTTAAGAACTAGTGAAGAAATGTCCTATTTTTTAATCATTAAAAATTTTAAGCTTTCCATAGAAATTTAGTAGAAGTTTTGAAACTATTGTTTAAAGCATTTTTCGAAAATCATATAAAATTAAAGAAAATAATTTTTTTCTGAAACATTTGATTTGAAATTCGAAAAATCGCCAACAAATTTTTTCTTCATATTTAGTGCATAATCAACAAATGACCAAAAAAATTGACTTTTTTGTATGAAATGAAAGAAAATTATTTTTTCTGAAAACTTTTTTTCAGAATTCAAAAAATTGTCAAAAATCTTATTTTTTTAAATTTGTGTGTTTAATTTAACTAAATTTAACCCATACGCAAAAATTTTGGCATACGCGTACATTTTGTAATTTTTTGTTTCATTTATTTTATTTTGTTTTTTATTTTTTTTAAATTTATTTTATTTAAATAAGCACTTTACCCTTCAATCCTCTAACATCGCCTCTCTAGCATATTAATGTCTTTATTTTCTACAATTTTTTGCCTGCTGTGCAACGCTCGTCTTCATGATTGGCTTAGACAATACGAGAAGTAGAAAGAAAATCTTCAAAAAAGAACAACAAAATCAGGGGCAAAAAATTATCACTGGTGGTCGCTTTTTACTTCTACGCTTTTATTACACTTCAGGTCCGTTTGATTGCCAACTTGATTTAGATTTTCCAAACGCTGTGCAATTGCGCCTGCTTGCCACGCCACACGCTTTCCGCATTCAATGACAATGTTGCGGTAAAGTNTAAAACTTTTAAAAAATTAATCGTTTTTTTAATTTAAATTTTTTTTTTAATTTTTCTACCTTTTATTAAATAAAATTGAGCTTAATACTTTAAAATAATAATTAAATATTTAAATATTAAGAATTCTACAAAAAATAAACTTAATAAAAAAGATTAAATAAAAAGATTTTGAAAATAAAAGCTTTGAAAATTAAAATAAATTTTTAAAAGTTATAATTATTTATATATTAAAAATTTTAACAAAATAATTTTTTTTTTTAATGTTCAATTTTTTTTTCAAAATTTAAACAGTTTGCACCAAGCATGGTTAATAAATTAAATACCAAAAATTAAATATTTAAAAATTTCTTAAGAACTAGTGAAGAAATGTCCTACTTTTTAATCATTAAAAATTTTAAGCTTTCTATAGAAATTTAGTAGAAGTTTTGAAACTATTGTTTAAAACATTTTTCGAAAATCATATAAAATTAAAGATAATAATTTTTTTCTGAAACATTTGATTTAAAATTCGAAAAATCGCCAAAAAAATTTTTTTTTCATATTTAGTGCATAATCAACAAATGACCAAAAAAATTGACTTTTTTGTATGAAATGAAAGAAAATTATTTTTTCTGAAAACTTTTTTTCAGAATTCAAAAAATTGTCAAAAATCTTATTTTTTTAAATTTGTGTGTTTAATTTAACTAAATTTAACCCATACGCAAAAATTTTGGCATACGCGTACATTTTGTAATTTTTTGTTTCATTTATTTTATTTTGTTTTTTATTTTTTTTAAATTTATTTTATTTAAATAAGCACTTTACCCTTCAATCCTCTAACATCGCCTCTCTAGCATATTAATGTCTTTATTTTCTATAATTTTTTGCCTGCTGCGCAACGCTCGTCTTCATGATTGGCTTAGACAATACGAGAAGTAGAAAAAAAATCTTCAAAAAAGAACAACAAAATCAGGGGCAAAAAATTATCACTGGTGGTCGCTTTTTACTTCTACGCTTTTATTACACTTCAGGTCCGTTTGATTGCCAACTTGATTTAGATTTTCCAAACGCTGTGCAATTGCGCCTGCTCGCCACGCCACACGCTTTCCGCATTCAATGACAATGTTGCGGTAAAGTCATGCCAAATAACGGCACAAAGAACTCAAAGAACCGCAAACGAAACGGCAAGAAAGTGAGGCCACGACACAACGGATGCTTCTCGATTGCCACTGAGGCTGTGCGAGGCTTATACACACACACATATATATACAAACGTGTGTGTGGAAAAAGCTGCTGATTGAGCAGCGGTATAAAGTAACATAGCCAATTGGCTGCAGTGTCTGCAACATTATGTGGCATATTGTAACAATTTGTTTCGGAATTGCTGCGAACGGCGAGTGAAACATGAAGCCATTGTGTTAAATGGGTAAGGAATGCGGCTGCCTATCGAAAACTATATGAACAGTGCGATGAGGGCGGTTTAGTATTTTAGTTGAAGAAATTATATACTTTTTAGTTAGAGCTTTGCGACATTGAAGCGTGGCTTGAAAGTAAAAATGTAAGCTCAAAGTTTGCTCAAGAGCTTTCGAACTGTTTTAAAAACATGGAAATTGTAAGCAATTGATTATTGAATCAGTTAGTAAAATTTGTATGCTCTAAAACTCTAAGCTTTACAAAACTAATAGTCTAAAGCTTTTATAGAGCTTTTTGTACAATCTTACATTTTGTGGAACGATTTGGGTGCGCCAATGCTCAAAACCTACAAGCTTTACAAAACTGTATAGTTCAAAGCTTTGTAAAAGCTTGGAAAGCTTTTTGTATAATCTCACCTATATTTTGTAGAACGATTTTGTAGTAGGGTTTTTGTCATTCTTCAATTGCTTCTATTATATCTAAATTTTCTATATAAATCTATATAATCTAACATTAAATTTTAGAGCTTTTCAGTATAATTTGCGATATTTTTTACTTTAAAAAGCTTCAAAAGTACGATTTGAAAATTTATTAACCGATTCAATAAAACTTTTAAAGCTTTGGTGAAACTGCTAAAATTTACATAAAATAGTAATTATAAAGTTTTAAAGCTCTTTAGTACGGTTTGAGTAAGTTTTGAGTTTAAAATTTCAAAAACCAAAATCATAAGAGAGCTTTTAAAAATTTCATAAAACTTTAGCCGCTTAGATTGATGTAAAAGTTGTAGCATTTTTTATTCTCAAGTGTGTTATGTGAAAAACCTTTAAACACATTTCTTAAAAAAATGCAATACATTTATATAATTTCGAATGTTTCATGTATAAAACCATTTAACAAGCTTAAAAGCTCAAACGTAAAACTTTTTAAAGTTTACTTTGAAATTTTTTTGTAGTGTAGATAATTTTAAAAGCTCATAAACGTTTTTTTTGTATTTCTTAATTAATTACCTATTAAATATATGTGAATGGAAAAAAATTATAATATTCACTTAAAAAGATATTTGAAAGCTTTTATAGTATACACACTCAAAGCTTTTATTTATATTTCAGTATTTTATTACTCTTAGTTATAATAAATTCCTTTCAATTTTTGAGACCGCTTACAATCACCTTTCCATCGCAAATTCACTGGCATTTTTCCACTTAAATCTTGCTGCCAGGCAAATACCACCGTTAGATTTGGCCTTTACAACGCCCACTCAAGTCATAAACCAGCTATAAAACTACGCATAAAAATACAGCAAGAAAATCGACAATAGGTGCAATGCTTAGAAAAATCACAAGAAAAAGAACAGCAACAAACGAATTGTAGATTTTATATCTGCAGAAACATCACAGACTCCATTGCCATCGTAAATTCCAGCTTTAATGACCAAAGTGCAGTGCTGAGCTAAAAAGGTGCGTGGGCATGAAAGGACAGCCTGCCAAGTTGGGTGTATGGTGAT